ACTTTCAAAGGATGAAAACCCGTAAAACCTGTTCGTCCAGAGAATTTTGCCCACGTACGCTAAAGCGCGCACACACGCATGCGCGCAACAACATTTTCAAGCTAGAAGGGCGAAATCTCTCTTAATATCCACCTGTCTACCAAATGCTTTGGACAGCGTCACAGATCGAGGTCACCTAGTCAGTATCGAACTTACAACGCCAGGAACGGTCTGTATGACTAGGCTGCAAACCACCAGTCTACCTCAGTCTCAGCATATTTATCTCGCTCAATTTTTTCATATCAAGCTAATTTCTAAATTTTTATATCTTCTTTAATTGTTCGTCCTCCTTAATAGTGTTTTATTTTTTATCTTATATTCTCTAAAACTCATTAACTCCTTGCGTCTTAGGGGCCTTATTGCCGGGCTTCAGGCAATATGATTTTAAAAAAATGGTCTCATCAACTTATAATTAAGTTGGCTAGATGTAACCGTAAATTCTATGCCAACGGTTTTTTTCACTTACGGCTACATGCTTTCCAGTCAAATTTAATCTTCAAAAATTTAAATCCAATGTCAATCGCTATCTGCTGTCCTCCTGATTACTCTACTTTTGTACTCGATCTTTTCTCATATATATATATATATATATATATATATATATAGAGAGAGAGAGAGAGAGAGAGAGAGAGAGTTAGTTACTTAGTTAAACCTAGAGAGCCAGACAAACCTACCAAGGTAGGTTTGTCTGGCTCTCTAGGTTTAACTAGGTCTGCTCTACTCATTGTATTGAGCACTTTATTTAGTTATTTTGCGTACTCGCATCTGGGTTTTTTCTTTGGGCCTTGGACTCGCATGCTAGACGATTATTTTCGGCTAACGTACATGTTCTTGGTTCTTTCTTTTTTTATAATTTTTTTTCCCCTTTGGTATTGGCTTGTTTATTTGCAAATCAAGTCACCGAAGGTTTTCCGAGCGAGTATAGTTTCTTATAAGATTTCTATTAATAATATACATATATATATATATGTATATGAAGAAATGTGGTTTTAAGGTGTGCTATATTTATGGGATAAAATGCTCAATATCAGAGATAGAGCGTATAAAATATAAATATAAAAGTGAACATTGAAGTCAACACTCAGAGGCGACAGGCTGTTTCGTGATGGAAACAATCGTCAGGCTCGCGGCCCGACGATTGCGTCTAGCATGAAACAGCCTGTCGCCTCCGAGTGTTGACGTCAATGTTCACTTATATATATATATATATATATATATATATATATATATATATATATATATATATATATAGTGTAACCCGGATATAAGAGATACCCGACATAAGAGAGATTTTCTCTGGTCCCAAATTAGAGCCTGTGTTAATGTATATAAATTAGACCAAATACGGATATAAGAGACTTCTTCTCCGGTCACGACAATTCTCTTATATCCGGGTTACACTGTATATATATTCTTGAAAAAGAATGGAGAAGAAAAATGACATCCTGAAAGAAAATTAACATTTATATCATCAAATAAATCTTTGTTCTGGGTTTTTTTTCAGCTTTTTTTAATATAATTGCGTCATTTTTTTTTCTTTGTTTGAGTACATACTGGGCAAATAAAAAGACATTCTATTTTTCCCCTTGAAGCAGGATTCACGTGTGTCACGCGCATTTGACAGTTAACGTCAGCCACAATTCCTGGCGTGACCGACTTGTTATAATTTAAATGTATGTTTTTAGATAAAAGCAACAAGGAAATGAACAAGGGTTAATTGAACTGATGTTATTAGCGTTTCTATCAAACGTTCGGTTTCTAAATTCTGAAAAAAGCTTGTCTGAGATTAAATAAATTACTTCAGATAACTGAAAAAAACGTTCGGATGATTTAAATTTTTCTCTTTATTTCATGCCCTGAAAATTGAAGTACGGATAATCGAGGAAATACTCTCTCTCATATGATGAAACCAACGGACAACTTGCCAAACCCTAAAACTCTTATCCAGATAAAGTCTCGAAGAAAAACGAAAATACTGAATTCAGACGACTTGAACGCAAATGAAAGAAGGGAGGGATGAGCTTTATATAGTCTGCGAAGATTGCGTGAGTGTGAAACTAGTATATATATATATATATATATATATATATATATACCTAAGTATAGTATTGTTGTATTCTACATTCAACATCATCACTTGATAAGGCACCAGAGGTGTTGAAACAAAATGGCTATTTTTTTGTAGTGATTTTATAACATGTTTATGTTATAATTTTAAATAAATAATTATATATATATATATATATATATATATATATATATATATATATATATATATATATTTCATATATATATATATATATATATATATTTTCAGATATATATATATATATATATATATATCTTTAAGTAATATATATATATATCTTTTAAGTAATCTTTTCATATATATATATATATATATATATATATATATATATATATGAAAAGATTATTAACTTTAAATATCAATTTTACCCCGACTTCGAAGTTTCTTGGTAAAATTTCCACTCTTCTGTGTGTTCAGGTTTTAAACGCTATTTCCACTTATTTAATAACATAAATAGAATAAAATAGTATTGTACACCCCCACACACACAAACACACACACACACACACACACACACATATATATATATATATATATATATATATATATATATATATATATATATATATATATATATATATATATATGTACAAGGGGAAAGAGAGAGAAAGAGGATGGGTACCAAGAGTGTTAACACTTCTACCCTCATATTCGGAAAAGACGGGTTTGCCGGGCTATTTAGATTTTAATTTTTTTTTCACATTTTATTTTCGTTCGAAGTAATTTAACCCTGCTAACCAGATGCTTCCCAGTAGCTAAATGGTATAGCACGTCATGCTATATGGCGGTTCCGTGTAGGATACTGCTTCGATTGCTGTCGGAAGAGACATATATTTTTAGGATTTTTCGGATGTTCAGGCCGGTAAATGTTGTTAATACTGTTTATTATCAACAGTGCATTTCCTTAAATATTTGTAACTAAAAGTATAGTATAAACAAAAGATACATTAAAATAATTGTCGTACTTATTATATATATTTTAAAGCTATATTTTATTGTAAATCTATGTCTACTGGCCTGTGTAATCGAGAGTGCTAATAAAGAAAATGGCTCTTCCGACATAGTTGTAATCTGCATCTCCCTCGTAGAGGAAACCAACTTTAAGCCTGACGTACTTTTAAACCGTCTGGTCACGAAAGATCTCCACAGTCAAGCAAAGTACAATTACACCTAGTACAACTTTTAAAGGCTCCATTGTGTTGCCTGTACTAAGCAAAGTAAACACACACACAAACGCACACATATATGTGTGTGGATATTTGTGTTTGTATATATATGTATGTGTATATACTTGTGTATACATGCACATTTCATTGAATACGACAGACAAGGTGCTTTTATTTAGCTTCTCAGGCGATCTAATAAATTTTTTAAGGATTAAATATTTTAACTGCTAAATAAGAAATAGTTTGTTGTATGTATGTTTTATAAAATGTTTTTATTTTTCAAAACACGGTCAAAATATTGTGTGCATGTTCAAAGTTAATATTATTAAGTGTTGGTTTGTTTGTTTTTATTAATAAGGCTTCCAATATTTTTCAGCCTTTGTTTGCATGTAGATCATGCTATTATATTTGTGTTGTCAACAAGTATGTTACGAATAGTGTCCGGTAGGTCTCCATGAATATTTAAATGAGATCTAATTGAGCTATGGTCAGAAAGGTGTAGTTAAAATATTTAATACTTGAAAATGGCTAAATGTATAGCCGAAAGCGCTCAGATAGAAAGAACATTCGGAGAGTTTTTATATAATTTATCATCCGAAAATAAAAAAAAAATATTAGATCGCATGAGAAATTGTATAAAACTAAATAAAAGCATCTTGTCTGTCGTATTCAATGAAATGTGCATGAAAGAAAGATTGCTGCCTAAATACACAAATTTGTATATATATATATATATATATATATATATATATATATATTAAGCATTTCACCCCTAGCAAGGCGGGAAGCCACTAGCACGCAAGGGGTTACAGAGGATTTGGAGCGAGATCAGATAGGAGTAATGAGGAAAGGATGAGGAGAAGGATAGTGGATAGATCAAGGCAACTGGAGATGTCGATTGACATTACATTGGAATAGTTGGAGATTATATCTATCAGGGAAACAGGAATAAGGAAGGGAGTTCCACAGGCGAGAGGTGCGAGATATGAAGCTATTGGAGTAGAAGAGGCGGCTACATTTAACAGTTTCAACAGTGAAAGGGTGAGAGCGGGATGTCAGCCTCGTAGAACGCTTGAATTCGCGAAGTCTGGGAACCAGCGAAAGCAGACGTGAGTGTGTGTGTGTGTGTGTGTGTGTGTGTGTGTGTGTGTGTGTGTGTGTGTGTGTGTATAATGGATTATTATTAACATCAGTAACTAATTATATTACATTAATTATTCTTCGTAAACAATATAAATATATACCTAACCCTACAAGCATAAATATAGATAAAATTGTCTCTGAGTGGATCTATTTTACTATTAATTTTATCTGCACAAACGCACACACACACACACACACACACACACACACACACACACACACACATATATATATATATATATATATATATATATATATATATATATATATATTGTCTGTATGCGTGTCTATATATAAATGTTTATTTTTTCATTGCTATATTGATGCACTGTTTCTTATTTAGTAATGTCTAAACTTTGCGAATAATAATTACTCTTTTGAAATAGTCTTTAAAATATAACCGCGGGAGTGACGTGTACTAAAAAAAAATGGCAGCATCGACCTTAACAAAAAGAAAGCTTCGTTACAAATAAAACAAATGTTGAAATAGACGTCCGACTCATTTTGTCATCGTAGGAAAGCGAAAGTAAATAGTAGGTGTCATGGCCGCCACGCCCTGATCAATGGCTGTGCTACCGGAAAGACGCCATCTTGCCAATAAGCCCATGTTGTGAGAAAGAGACTCCTGTCGTTGTCTAATTTATTTACATTTCGACAAAAATGACAAGCGAAATTATCAAACAAGTCTGCCTCAAATTATTTATCCTGTAGGTTGTCGAGACAACCACCTGTTAACCATATTGACTACTCATCGTCTTGTATGTCCATTTTGTAACAAGCTAGTACTTATTTTTTATGATTAAAGTAATGTGTACGCATTTGAGTATTTACACGTATATATATATATATATATATATATATATATATATATAATGAAAAAACAGACCACTTTATGGTACCGTTACAATAATTTATTTCACCAAAATCCTTTTTGAAGGACTCCGGATCATCAGGTAAAACACTTCCAACAACGAAATGAAAGGAAAATTGTACAATAAATGTTTTTTCCTGTTTTAAAATTTTACGCAGTGATTTGTCTTGTATTTTTAACTCGCGCTTACTAACGGCAGCTATCGTTTATTCTGCCAACTAAATTTTGTGTATGGCACAAGGAGTTGGTAGGAGAGTGAAGAAAAAAGAAAGAAACAAACAAAAAATTTTTATATTTTTCCTTTCATTTCGTTGTTGGAAGTGTTTTACCTGATGATCCGGAGTCCTTCAAAAAGGATTTTGGTGAAATGAATTATTGTAATGGTACCTTAAAGTGGTCTGTTTTTTCATTAAATATTAGCTCTGAATTCACATTGAGCTCTCAGGATTTCATCCTCCTTGGAATTACCCATTCGGTTTACCAAGTTCTTCGTAACTTATATATATATATATATAAAAGTGGACATTGAAGTCAACACCCAGAGGTGAGAGTCTTTTTCATGCTAAACACACTCATCAGGCCATTGTGTTTCATATTTACATACGCTCTGTCTCTGATACTGAGCACTTTAACCCATAAATGAAGCATAACTGAGAACTATATTTGATCTTATATACATATGGGATAAGGATATATGATTTTTTATATATCAAGGACAATATGAAAAAAAAAAACTTTTCGTGTAATACGTTCCTTGGGCCCCAGATGAAGTTCTAAAGTAAAACTTTTTTTATCAATTTCTCATGCATCTTTCTCCATTGTGTTAAACGGATATACTTACCAAAATTTAAATTATGTAGTGATCAGGCCTAAACATTGATTTGTGTATAAAACTCAGAGTCGTGCTACTGGTAAGGAAAAGAAAATGTATATTAATATATACTTATTAGCGCTCTGCTATATTACACCGACCACTATTTTATCAACAACAGCACCCACTATACACATATATACACACATTATATATATATATATATATATATATATATATATATATATATATATAGATAGATAGATAGATAGATAGATAGATAGATAGATATACAGGTAGGTAGTAATCCGTTGGTATAATCCAAGAGAGTCCTATGAACACAATATAGAATTTGAAATATTAAATATTAAATGTTAAAACTGACTCACACAAGAGCGCTCAATGTTTATTTTCCTGTAACTACTTTCTTTCTCTTTGTCCTCCTCTGAGGTCCTCTCTGTCTCTCTCTCTGTCTCTCTCCACCTCTCTCTCTCTTTCACTCTCTTTCCTTCCCCAACTAACCAAATACAAACTGAATTTTACATTTAAAATTCGTAGGTGAAAATGGCCATTAACTAATGGTATCTTAATTCCAATTGTGCGACATATATATATATATATATATATGTGTGTGTGTGTGTGTGTGTGTGTGTGTGTGTGTGTGTGTGTGTGTGTGTGTGTGTGCGTGCGTGTGTGTGTTTGTTTACAGAGGAAACGTCTGGTTAGCAAGGTCGAATATCTGATTTTAAACTAACTTTTATTTTGCTAACGAGACGCATCCTCTGTACCTAAATGGTATAGCACGTCAGATAATATGACGGTTCCTTGTAGGATACAGGTTCGATTCCTGTCGGGGGACACATAATTTCTCGAACATTCAGGCCGGTAAATGTAGTTGGTACTGTTTATTATAAACAGAGCATTTACTTAAATATTTGTATCTGTAAACTAACTTATAAACAAGAAATATATTAAAATAATTGTCAGCTTTAGACCATTTCATAATAATAATAATAATAATATATATATGTGTGTGTGTGTGTGTGTGTGTGTGTGTGTGTGTGTGTGTGTGTGTGTGTGTGTATGTATGTATTTGGGGAATGAGCAACCACGAGTCACAAAACCAGATACGAAGGCGAGCACAAACTTTAGCGAAAACTGGACCGAACAAAATCATATATGGAACCAATAAAACCAAATTCAGATGGGGAATGTTTGAAACAAAAATTACAAGAAATTGGACAAAGTGTAACGTCAACCGCCAGACCCCCATTCCCGCACAGGCACACCAGCACCAAAAAAAATCGCAACTTGGCAAGAGAGGTTAGTAAACATATGAACCATTAAAAGCAAGAGGCATTCTGTGTATCGGTGTGGAAAAATAGATAATTGGAACAAGTGATCGAAGATCGATATTGTCGATGGCCGTCAATGCGAGATTAAGCCTCTATTGTGTTGCCAGCCGCCATAACTGCGCTAATACTCGTGGGAGAACAGAAAGAAGGACAGTAGCTAGAATGTCCGTCATCAATAACAACGCTACGTTGATTTTATATTTCCTATTTCCCCTTGTTTTCTTTACTGATGTGCAATTGTATTGTTTTCCAATTCGTTTTATTTGGACGTCTTTCCCCGTTTCTTTTATACATTTAATGACATTCTTTCTTTGTTTCTAATAATTATGTCTCTAACTTTCCTTCTAGCTTCAAATTTTTCGTCTATAACTTACCTCTCACATTCTTTATTTCACTAATTTTTAGATTCTAACCGCTCACTCAATCAGTCATTTTCTTTCATGCTTTCTTTCTTTCGTTCTTTCTTCTCTAATTTTTCGTCTCTAACTTACCACCTACTCAATCAATCATTTTTTTCTTTACTTCTTTTCTAATTTTTCTCTCTAACTTACCACCACTCAATCGCCCATTTTCATTCTTTCTTTCTTTCTTTCTTTCTTTCTTTCTTTCTTTCTTTCTTTCGTAATTTTTCGTCTCTGATTCACCCCAACTCAATCACTTATTTTCCTTCTTTCTTTCGTTCTAACTTACCATCACTCATTTTCTTTCTTTCATTCTTTTCTCAATTTTCGCCTCTAACTTAGCACTCAATTAATCCTTCCTTTTCTTTCTTTCTAATTTTTCTATAACGTACTTCTCACTCATTCTCCTCCTTCTTCTTCTTCTTCTTCTCATTTTTACGTCCCTCTCTATATCTTTATTTCTTTTTCTGATATTTCGTGTCTCAGGTAATTCTGACGTTTCCTTCTTTCTTTCTTTTTTATTTCTTTCCTTTTTTCTTTTCATCTATCACTTACGACTCAGTCACTTTTTTGGTTCTTTATTTTTTTTTTCGATATTTACGTCACTAATTTAACTCTGACTTTCTCCTAATTTTTCTTCTCTAACACACGTCACTTTTCTTTTTCTTTCTTTCTTTCTTTCTTTCTTTCTTTCTTCTAATTTTTCCACTCTTTATATTTTTTTTCTGAGATTCTATGATTTTTATATTCATTTTAGCCCCTGCAAAATTTTCTTCTTTTCAAACCTGCTTTCATCATTATACAGTACTTTTTTCCTCAGTTTCTTTGTTTCTTTCCCTTTGTTTGTTTGTTTGTTTCTCTCTTTGTTTCTTTCTTTATTTATTTATTTATTTCCTTTCACTTTCTTTCTTTCCTTTTTCTTTCTTTCTTTCTTTCTTTCTTTCTTTCTTTCTTTCTTTCTTTCTTTCTTTCTTGTGACGTTCATCATGAACCCATTGAATTGTAATTTATTTTTATATTTTATGCCTTCTTTCTTTATTTCCTTTCTCTTTCTTTGCCTTTTCTTTCCCCTTTTCTCTTTCTTTCTTTCTTTCTTTATCTTCTTTTCTTTCTTTCTTTCTTGTGATGTCCATCATTAAACCTTTGAATTCTGGTTTATTTTTTATCTTTTTTATGCCATCTTTCTTTATTTCCTTTCACTTTCTTTCGCTTTTCTTTTTCTTTCTTTCTCTTTTTTCTTTTTCTTTCTTTCTTTCTTCTCTTTCTTGTGACGTTCATCATTAACCCTTTGAAATCTGATTTACTTTTTATCTTTTTACGCCTCCTTCTTTTCTTTCTTTCTGTTATCTGTTTCTGTTCCTGCCCGCGTTTCTACAGTCGAACTGCTCTCTTTAAACCGCCCGGCTTGCCAACTTTATCCCAATTTTTATCGCTTCTCTATTGACGATCGCCGAGACTTGGATCAATTTTCCCCAAGAATATTTGCACGAAATATTTTTAAATGACCTGGCTAAAATCAGATTACCCCGTCAACAGTGGCAACCAAATGCTTCAGGTTTCAGACAACTCTTCAATCAAGATTTTCATTTCAGTGTTTAATTGCCTCAGATGTGATTCGCCATATTTATCAGCATTTCTTTACCTTCCTTGATCGGAAAGCTGAAGAGAGAGAGATTCGTTGATCCATCGTCGGCAAATTTGCCAGTTCAATTGCAACAGGGTCGTTGTCTATTTTTCTAGTTTCTTTTTCTTTTTTTTTTAAATTTCTGTCTCTCGTGTGTTGTTGTTATTGTCATCATCATCATCTTATTTAAGCTCGTCTATGGACGTTTATTCCTATAGTGGCATCTTTTTTTTCCAATCTGTCGATCCGGCATACCACCTCGGTGTGGGGTAATAGCGAGCAGGACTAGTCTGGTTGAACATTACTATTACACACCGAGGGACACCTCGAGGCGGTGTAGTGGTTAGCAAGCTTGTCCCGCTAGAACAATTACGACTGATTACTGAGTTCGATCCTCACTGGGTTCCGCATACTTTCGGCCTTGTGCCACATCGTAAGTATATTTATTCCTAAGGTGTTATAAATACAGTGCTCAATGTTATGAAACAGAAATATATAAACAGAATATTATACGTATTCACTAATATATATATATATATATATATATATATATATATATATATATAGATAAAAGAAAGAATAGAAAAAGAAACTTCCTAAAATGCACAATAAAAAAGGTCTTGTTCGCAAATATATGGTGTGTGTGTGTGTGTGTGTGTGTGTGTGTGTGTGTGTGTGTGTCTAGCAATCCATGTCTAGTATGTGATGATATGTATGTATATATATATATATATATATATATATATATATATATATATATATATATATGTATACACAGACACACACACACACACATATATATATATATATTATTTATAAAAAAGTCTTATCAAGTGATGATGTAGAATGTGACATTCTACATCATCACTTGATATGACTCCGGAGGTTTTGAAACAAAATGGCTATTTTTGTAGTGATTTTATAACATATTTATGTTATATTTTTTTTTTATATAAATAATTATATCTGCTCTACTCTGTATTGAGCACTCTTTTAAGAATAGTAACACACACATATATATATATATACACACAAACACTTGGTTTCTTTACGATATAAAAAGAGAAATAGATATAAAATAAACAAACTTAAATTACCAGAGACTGTTTAAATTAAAATGTCATCGTTTCATAACAAATCCTATTAGAATTTTTAAAAGGAATTAGTGTTGAATAATCGGTTCTTTATTATTTTCAAAGTTTCCTTATTATTTTCAAAGTTCTACTCATCCTGTTCTTTTATCCTTTAAATTTGGTTCATTCTTGTCGGGTTTTATTGCACATTTTAGAACGGAATATTCTTTCATTCTAGTCTTTCTATGTCTTTCAATAAATACTTTGCCTCTGCGTTTGTACTGAATTGTCTTTCTTTGCTTATTCCTTCGAAGAGTTTTCTTTGTTTTTTTCTCCGTTGTTTTTAATGTTTTTGTTTTCTTTGAGATTTTGCTTTCCGGGACTTTGTTTCATTCTTTGTCACTTTCTCGAAAGGTTTATTAGGATATTTTTTCCGATCGGAGATCATTAAATTCTTCAAGATATTCTGAGACGAAAAAAAAGCAGTCAGGAAGAAATGAAACAAAGAATAAAAAGGTGAAAAGGAAGTAAAAATAAATTCAAAAAAGAAATAAAGAGCGCAAAGAAAGAAAGTATGAATGAAGACAAAGGGCGTCAGAAAAGAAAGATGGAAAAGAAAGATTAAAAATAGGAAATGCACAAGAAAAAAAACGATAAAGAAAGGAACAAAGAAACAAAGAAAGGAGATAAAAGAGTGGGAAGAAGGAAAGAAAGGACGTAAAAAAAGAGTGAAAAGAATGAAGGAATGTAAAAGAGTAGAAAGAAAGAAAATAATAGTAGAAAGAATGAAAGAAACAACGTAAAAGAGTGGAAAGAAGGAAAGAACGTAAAAGAGAGGAAAGAAGGAAAGAAGCAACGTAAAAGAGTAGAAAGAAGTAAAGAAACAACGTAAAAGAGTAGAAAGAAAGAAAGGACGTAAAAAAAAGGAAAGAAAGAAAGAACGTAAATGAGTAGAAGGAAGGAAAGAAACAACGTAAAAGAGTGGAAAGAAAGAAAGGACGTAAAAGAGAAGAAAGAAGGAAAGGACGTAAAAGAGAGGAAAGATGGAAAGGGCGTAAATGAGTGGAAAGAAGTAAAGAAAGAACGTCAATGAGTAGAAAGAAGGAAAGAAAGGGCGTAAAAGAGTAGAAAGAAGGAAAGAAAGAACGTAGAAGAATGGAAAGAAAGAAAGAACGTAATATAGTGGAAAGAAGGAAAGAAAGAACGTAAAAGAGTGAAAAGAAAGAAAAATCATAGAAAGCAGGAAAGAAAGAAAGGTCATAGAAAGAAAGAAAATTCAAAGAAAGAAAGATTTTCGGTTGCTACTTCAACTACATCCACCATTATTTTCTCTTTCATTTCCTTCTCTTCAAGGTTAGTGAGTGCCACCACGTCATGCCAAATCGAGCGACTGGGACCGACATCATATCGCGTCTTTTCGAAATAAACAGTCAGAAATATTGCGAATCTCTCCGCTATCAGTGCGAAAACGCGCTTTCTCCTCTCCTTGATTGGTCGTCTGATACGCTCTGGCGTCCGTAGCGGCAAATGTCGTATTTTGAGCGGCGAGTCCGAGGCGAGCGAGATTACAAATAGCCTTATCTTTGCAGAACGTAATAACCTTTTCTCAAATCGTACAATTTATTCCGCAGCCCGGATTTACACCACAGCTTTTGAATGAATAACCATGCAATATTTTTCTCTCCATCACCGCTCCACTTCCTTAACTTATATTGACTTTCGTTTCTGAAACCGTATATTTTCTCACTATCTTTCTTATTTTTCAGTTCTCGTTTTTCATCATACACACACACACACACACACACACACACACACACACACACACTCTCTCTCTCTCTCTCAAATGTGTAAGCCATATATACCCATACATACACTGTAAATATGAAACTCTTTACAGTGGAGGACTGGTTAGGAAGGCTAGTCTCAGCTTAGTCAGTACCTCTGATGTGAAGTCAAGCTTCTAACTTGTATTCTTTCTTATATACACGATATCCAGTCATTTTTTTTTTTTTTTGCTATCATTTTCACACCCCGTTCTGTCATCCAGTGACACAAATAGGTCAGGTAGGTTATTCAGTTTCCGCCTACTCTTTTAGCTTTCTGTATGTCCTATGAGTATCAAATTCTCCAAACATTTTTTCCTCATTATGCGTTCAAGAAATTTCTGCTGTCTTTTTCTGATATGAAGCATAAATCTCTTTTTTGTTTCCATTTTCCTTACGCCCCCCCCCTCGTTGCTTATATGCACCTTTTACGTTATTCCCAGCATCCTTCTGTAGAACCAGATCTCTGTTGTCACCAGTCTCCTCTCCGTCTGTGAAGACATTATACATTTACTGGAGGATTGATATTATATCGCTGTTGAACACAATTGTTATTTTGCATCAAAAGAGAGTCGTTATCTAAAATGTTATGCTTATAGCGTAAATCTTATGCTTATGGCCACACATCACGTTGAAGTATCAGTTCCCGTACGATCACCGAATTTTAAGCAACGTCGAGCCTGGTCAGTACCTAGAGGAGTGACCACTTCGGAATAAGCTTGGATCTATGGGTTGTGTAATGATAATTGCTCGGAATTGGAAACTGGAGTGCCCAATTCCCGTTGGTTCGTTATGTTCACTTAAGCGCTAATACCTTTAGGGAAGGTATGGATCCACCTCTTCTCTCCCCAGCTATGGGTTAATTAGTAAGACTTGTATCACTAAAACCATTATTATCTCCCAGCAACCTTTTACAATCTAAAAATATTTTCTGGCTTTAAATAACCTTCAAAGAATTGATAAGTCGTAGAAAACGAATCGATCGATGAATTAATGTAAATCCTAAATAAGCATAAACATTTTACACTATTTACATTATTCGGACTACTGTCCTCATCTCTGTCGCCTTATTTATTACAACGTTTCGGCCGTTGTACGCTCCGGCCTTCTTCAGCGTAGAACGACCGAAACGTTGTAATAAATATGGCGACAAAGATGAGAACAATAGTCCGAATAATGTAAATAGTGTACATAATACCTCATCTCAGAAATATAGACAGATAAACATTTTAATCGGATTAATGTTTTAAAACGAAGTTATTCGCAATTTTATCAATGTGGATTCAAGTGTACACGGAAATATTTGCATGAACTCTGCTCGCCGCCATAAGATTTCAACCTCTTTACAGAAGTCGTTCGTTCAATCTAAATGCCGACCACATTCCAACAACTGGACGGTGTGCTTAATCCTCTCTTTTCCAACTTTTCCCCATGAATGACTCTCCACCCCCCTATCTTCTAGGAGGGCACTCAGCTAAATAATGAATCCCTCCCCGACCGACACACTACTTTGTTCCACTTGCTGCTTTTTGAAAGATCCCTTTTCCAACGCCTCTATTATCAACGATGGATGCCAAAAATGTCCCTGGCCTTCTTATTTCAGCATCTGCTTCCGCCTG